AAAGCTTTTTTCTTTTTTAAAATTTTATAAATTAATTTTTGATTCATTTTTTAATTCAAATTAAATTTTTACGATAATTTTTTAGTATTTTCAATAATATAAAAAATATAATTTTCAAATGAACTTAAACATTTAGTACAATATATCTACATAATATACATATATCTATATAGATAAAGTAAAGCATATGCTTTAAAGTGATTCTATAATATATATTTATACATATATAAAATTTACGATTTTCTTACCTTTTTGACTAAAATCATATCAATCATAAATGCAATTTCGCAAGAATCATAATAGGAAAAATAAATCTGATATTTCTAATTCTTATAAAAACCTAAAACCATCACATTAAAATTTAAACTTAATATTTGAAAGTTTATTCAGAAAATTCTATCAATAAAGATTACAAAATCTTTTTTTACATTATATTTTTGTTATAATGATATAAACAAATATAAACAAAATTTGTATTAGTAGATATATGTAACTCGCGATCTTTTCTATATTCATTTATTAATAAATTAACTATTATTTACAAACTCGAATTAATATAATTTATACAAATATATTAAAGTATATATTTATATATAAATATATTATAGTATATATTTCAGGATCAGTTGCACAATAAATTTTATTGTGGCTTGAAATCTAAAAAAAATTTAATAAATTTTTATTATAAGTTTTTGTTAATTAGGAATTATGGATTCAATTTGATTAAAAAATCTATTATTACAAATAAGTATCCGATAATTTTTATTTTTTAATTTTCAATTCTTTCTATTTTATCATATATTTATAATATATTATATTATTTTTTTTAAAATGTAAATGATATTTGATGATTATGAAAAAATAATTTTTACGAAATATCAGAAGTCATTTTCTCATAATATATTTTCTCAGAATATAAAATAATGAACAATAAGAATCTATTGTATTTAAATTATAGTTAAAATTATAGTTAAAAAAAATTATTAAATTAAATTTCATAAAGAAATCTCTTTGAAAAATAAGTGAAATTGTTGATATACAGTATTGTTAAAAAATATAAAAAGATGTAAATGGAAAATAAGCATTGTTCTGATAAATTATCGAAACGAAAAGAATAAAAGATTTATTTTAAAAAAAAATAAAAATTAATTTTTTTTAAAGTATTGTTGCTATTATATCTGAATTGAAAATGATTACAAATAAAAATATAAATTCAAACATATTTACAAGTTTAAAAAAATCTGAATTTCATATATGTTGCGAAAAGAAAACTTTGTATTAAGATTAATAGTTTTTAATAAGATTAATAAAAAAACACATTTTGATTTTATAAAGAAATATATTAAAATTTTGAAAAGAAATAATATTCTCGAATGAAAATAAATTTAATATGTGAGAATCCGATGATGACAGTTTAAAGATTAAAAATTAAAGAAGTCTAAGAATAACATCAGATCTACGATAAAATACAGTGATATAATTGCATAATAATGTGAGAATATATATGATTACAAATGATGTACCTCGGAAATTTATAGATTATATATTGTAATATAATATATATTATAACGAATAAATACATATATATATTTAAATATTTTAAATATATAAAACAATTACATATATATAAAATATATAAAACAATATATATAAAAAACAATTTACATTTATTTCCAAAAAACTTGATTTTTCATTGTCTTATTGAAAACGATATTTTATACTGATTATTATAATAAATTATTTTTATTTTCTCTTAATCATTTGTAATATTACATCAAATTCATCAAAATAAATCAATATTTCATTATAAGATAAATAAATCTATGTATGTAAATATAGAATTATATATAAATATTACATATAAAGGATAAAATATTCAAAATAATAAAATAATTTTGAAATAATAATAATAATAATAAATTTCCTTCTTCTAAATATGCTTTTTATAAATTGTAAATTGCATGCAGGAATTAAAAACTAACAAAGAATTTTATATTATCTCAATGTTTAACATTTGAAGTTTAAGAAGTCTTAAAATTTATTCATATTTTTTTTTAAAACAATTATTTTTTTAATTTAAATAAAATTCAAATCCGATTCATCATTAAAAGTTTCATCATAAAAAATATTATTGAGAAATAAAAGTTTAATAAAATATTTTTCATTTATTGGTTTAATTTTTTTTTTAAATATTATTCATTAGAAAATGAATAAAACATAATTTTTTTATTAATAATATTTATCTTTTAAGTTTTATTAACAAAAAAAAAGTTTTATAACAAAAATTAACAAAAACATTATTTTTAAAACCAAAAATGTAAAAAATATTGTAATAATCACGAACATTATTTTTAATCTAAAAATAATCTAAAAATAATCTATTGATTAATCCTTTATATTCTATTGATAATTAATAATTGAATAATAATAATAATCTATTAAAAATAATTTAATGATATATATATAAATAGTAGTAATAATCATCTAATAATAATAAAATAATTATATTAAATCATTAATAACATTGAAACAGATATATTCTTAAATGTCATTTGATTTATAAGAACAAAAAAAATCAATGTTATTGGCGTTAAATAATCAAATAGAATATAAAAAAATAGTAATTGAAAAATATTTGCTTATTTGATACGTATTAAATGCTTATATAATTGCTTGTATATACAGTATTTATTTTTGTGAATGCCACTAAAATAGATAATAGAATATCGTGATTTATGTATCAAAATACAACGGCATTAACTATTTTCATCTTGAAAATATAAACATCAAAACATTTTACCCTTTTTAACACTTTTAATACCAATTTTCTTTATTCGCAAAATTTAATATACTAATAATCGTTTTTTTAAATATCTCAAAAATACCTAAAATTGAGTAGATTACACGTATAAAAAAAAATTAATCAATAATTATTTAAAAAAATACTTTCAATTTCAAAAATTTTTCAAATACAATTTGAAATTGATTAATTTCTTATTAAATATAAATAGATTAATTATAAAAAGATATTGTATGAAAATATATATAAAAATAAAAAATAAAATTTATTGTTTATATATTTTTAGAAAAGTTTTTTAGTTTTCTAGAAAATCAAGATTAAACATTAACGATATCAATCGATGCAAAGAGTTAATAAATTTTCAAATTCAATTTTCTCGAAAATTAATCTTTAAACAAAAAAGACTTTTTTTATATTCATATAGAATTACTTCTTATTGATGGAGTATTTGTATGTAATTGGAAATCAATCAATTTTACTTGTATATGAAAATTTTTTTGTTTTTAAAACTTGATTTTACAAACAAAGTATTAAAAGAAAAAATTATTCTTTTTTTTTTAATTATTTTTAATTACTTTTTTAATACTTAATATTATATAGAATTATTATCTATGTTGTATTCTCATGATTTTGGGGACAATTTGTATTTGCAAAAAAAAATTGTTTATTATTATATAGAATTTCGTCTATATATATGCATTTGTAATAGCATATATAATCATTTATCTATTATTTACATAAACATAATATAGTGAATAATTATATTATAATTTTATATAATTATATTATAATTAGCACGAAATTTATATAAATAAATTAATAAGTCATATTATTGTTAATATTATTATAATATTAAATCATAATAAATTCTACGAATTTTTTAAAATATTCAAATCATTCGCTACAAATAGATATGAATAAATAAATGTAATAATATTTATCCATAGATGCTAGATTCAGTATGTCAATAATAAAATAACAATGATCATATACTTACATAATTTTTTTTGCAAATATCTTAAAAACTAAAGCTGAACGATAACACGTATAAAAAAAAATGTTTAGAATCATGTCAATATCATAATTCAAAATCATTGAAATTGATAAAGAATATTCTTTTGTATCTTTTTGTAATTATCCAAAATATTAATTTCTATAACATATTCAAAAATCATTGAAATCAAAAATGAATTATTTTTAATTTTCACATATTTCCGCATGTTCAGAATGATCATGATGATGAAAAACGGATAATTTTGCTATATTCAAATAGCAAATATAATAAATATTTTAATACCTTTCAAATTACATAGTTCAAGGATGAATTTTTCAAACAAAGATTCAAAATATTTTGCTTAATTTTGTAAAACAATTTAAAAGAAAATATTACATTTATAAAATCTGCCTAAAGCTGATTGAAAAATTAATATAAATTTGATAAATATGCTTTGGATAGAATAAAAAAATATAAGACTTATATATATCTATTTTTTTTAACAAGATATTTGTATAAATCAACAATACAATGAAAGTATATTGTAACATTTAAAAAAGGCTACATATAAATATTAAAAATATTAAAAATATATTAAAACTATTTATTTGAATAAATAGTAAAAATAATAGATGTATTAGATATTAAGTACATATCCATATAAAACTATTTATATAAAGAAAACAATTTTTACTTCATTTTAAATTCTTAGAATAAATTACTCATTTTTTGCTATTATGTATTAGAAGAACTGTATT